AACCAGATTTACATAATATATATCTGATGGGAGAGTCCTGTGTATATGTCAATAAAGCACTGTTGGCCAATAGGGAAGCAAGATAGGTGGGACTAGGAGTCGAGGAGGATTCTGGGAAATGTAGTAAAGAAGCTGTCCTAGAAAGATAAGTTCTTACAAAATATATTTATGGATAATTATGGGTTAATAATCAAGTCAGACCTAGCCGATAAGAAACCAAGCCAACAGCCAACAGCTATAATTAGTATAGCGTCTTGTGTGTTATTTGGGGGTTCAGACAGCTCGGCAGGGCCCAGGCAGCTGGTGGGGAAGACAACACCTTACACATATTCACTAATCCAGCCCTACAGAAAGTTCCGGAAGGAAAACTCCAACCCAAGAAAGTTAACTACACCCACAAAAACAAAGGCAATAGATAATCCCACTTTACCAAAAGCCAAAAGAGAAAGGGGGGGGGGGTAATCCACACACAATACAGAGTAAGACCCAGTCTCAAAAAAAGTATATTAGAAAGAAAATCAATGTGCAGCACTGTAAACCTTGCGAAAACCCCTGCCTGGGGGAATCATGGGCCCCGGTGGAGAACTTGCTGTTTGTTTAGCTGAACTGACGCAGGGTCAAACTATGTTGCAGGCGCACATCCCTAGTCAAGTGCTTTGCTCAGAGCAGCCTCTCTTCTGCCCGTCTTTGCGGCAAACAAGGGATGTCTGGCTTCTCCAGCCGCTGAGGACAGCTGTGTGCTCACCCTCACAGGATAGGTAGGCCATGCCCTCGAGGGCTCAGTGAACGTGACAGAACGGAGGCGACAGAACCAGGGGGTAGACAACAGGGAGGAGCGCTGTAAAATACCATCACCTGGGCAGAACCCAGCTGATTGTGGTTACCTTTAACGAGCCTGCCCAAGACTGGCCTTGTCCACAGTCCTGAGTGCTGGGATTAAAGATGCTCGTCGCCCGGTTTGAGAGCCACTGCTTTGAAACCAAATGCACACCTCAAACTGTTATAATATAGACACTGCCAATTGCCACATAAGAGGTAAATAAAAGAGATTTACTTTGTAAAGATTAAGAGAAAAAGGTTTCAGCAAAACCTTAAAAGATGTTTGAAACGTGGAAAGAGTAACTTTCTAGTTTTATTCCCTGTATGAATTTTACAAAACTTCATCTGCTGAGTCCTGCCTCCAGTCCCAGCCCAGAACTCTTGAACCTTCTGCCTCCCTGGGGCTTGGATTGCAGATGAAACCACGCCCAGTTTTATGCGGTGCTGGGGACCAAGCCTTAACTGCCCCTAGGCCAGCTCACATCTTCTGCCTTTTAACTGTTCAAATGGTTAAATGCAGGCAGTGGCCATGGCTTGGTAGCAGAGAGCTCTGCCTGGCATGCACCTCAACCTCGGAGGAGACAAGCAAAACAGAGCAAAGCCTCCAACATTCCCCACAGGCAGAACAAATGCTGTGCCCGCCGACAACTCAGAACCAAACTCTTAGCCATCTCTCCAGCCCTGTCTCGCTGTATTTTCTTTAGCCAACCTTTAGTCCCCCCCCTTTTTTTTTTTTTTTTTGTTTTTTGTTTTTACGAGACAGGGTTTCTCTGTATTGTTTTGGAGGCTGTCGGTCCAGCCTGGCCTCGAAGTCACAGAGATCCGCCTGCCTCTGCCTCCCGAGTGCTGGGATTAAAGGCATGTGCCACCACTGCCTGGCTAGTTCCCTCTTTTTAAAATTATCTCAGGAGTTGCACGCAGTGGCTCACTCCGGGTAACCCTTGCTGGCTCTTGAGGGCAGGGGCAACTGCTTAGAGTTCTAGATCAGTGTCACCTCCAGACATAGACTGTCTCAAAAAAAAATTATCCTCTCAAGAACGACTTCCTATGGGAGGCTTTACCCTCTCGGTGGAGCAGATGGAAGGGGGAGGAGAGTGGAGGGAAAGGGGAAGCTGGAGGAGAGGAGGGAGGGGAACTGGGACTGGAATGTAGCAAAATTCTAGCAGCTCAGCAACAAAGTTTTCGTTTCTGGAGGCATCGCTGTGTCCTGGCTCCGGGCTGGCACATTACTACGACACAGCCTCTGTGTTATTATTATAAAACTTGGGTTTTTCTCCTCCCTCCCCATCGTTTACCCTCATTTCACATCCCATCGTTCACCTTCAAACTCATGTCACCGTTTTATTAACTGTGTTGGGGTGCATGGGTGCCGCAGCGTGAGTGACCACGTCAGAAGATGGCTTTCAGGAGCTGGTCTCCTTCCACGTGGGTTCTAGAGACCAGCTGAGGTCATGTGCGGTCTGTCACCTCCTGGAACTCACAGACCCTTTCAAAATCCTAATTTGTATAGTTCAATAAGGGTTTGGACACAACCTTAGTGTATTTTGAAAACAATACTGAAGTACATTTTTTTATTGATACAGGGTACATTAGAATTCTGGATTATTATGTACTAATAAAAACAACCTATTTTAGGTCTGGGGGATGGCTCAGTAAAGTGCTTGCATGGGAGAACAAGGCTCTGAGTTCAATCCCCAGTACTCATAAAAAACTGGCATGTTGTAACCCGTAATCCTGGCCCTGGGGAACAGAGACCAGGACCCCTGGGGCACACTAGTCGCCCAGTCTTGGCAAGTTCCAGGCTGATGAGAGACCCTGTCTGAAACCACAAGGTAGACAGTGTCTGAGGACTAACGCACAAGATCAACCAATCTCTGGCCTCCACATCTATGTGGACACACACACACCCACACCCACACCCACACACACACCCACACACACACACACGCATGTTCATCTGCACACACACATACACACATGTATGTTTACCTACAGACACACACACACACACACACACACACACACACACGTCTGTTTGTGAAGACAGACAGCCATACTACATCGTATATTATCAACTAATAATCTGGGACTGACAAAATATTCCTGAAATATGAGACGAGTAGCTCCATCAAGGCCATTTACTGAGTCCAATCACGTAAACTAATTTAATTTAATCCATCACAAGTATTTCAATGAAAGTTTCCTAAAAGTAAAACAAGAGGAGGCTTGCTCATTCTTGGCTTCTTAGGCGGACTAATAATGGCCCGAGTGATGAGTGAACGTGGATGTCAAAGCCTGATGGTTTCAAGGTCACACGGTCCTAAGCACCACACGGAGGGGAGGGGGTGCCACGGAAGAGTTTGTGCCTTCCTTAGAAACAGCCTAAGAAGACTGTTCTTAAACTACTGAGCTGACCAGACTAAACATTTGCACTGGCAAGCCAGAAGAATCCTTGGATACGTGTGTTCTTTTTAACATAAAAAACACATGCTTTCATTTCGTAGAAAGGACATAGTAAGTGGCTTTCCTGGATTTGTTAGACTGTAACATTGTTTCGGGGACACAAGGACTATAAATTAAACCTTTTTTAAAGATGCAAGGAGACGTGTCCATGTTTTGCCTGCATGTGTCGTCGGTGCCCCCAGAACTGGAGTGACAGACGGTTGTGAGCCACCATGTGAGTGATGGGAACCAAGCCCAGGTCCACAGACAAGAGCATCAAGGGCCTTAACCTCTGAGCCCTAAAAGGAACATTTTTTTAATAAAAAGGACTCAATTTAAATCAGAAAATTTTAACATTTTACTTACTATTAATTCAACATTTAACAAATAGAAATTGGGCACTTACCACATTCTAAAGCATTGTTTCCTATAAATTTAGATAGCTTTGTAATTTATCCTACCACTGCCATTAAACAACACCTCACCCCAATGGATATGTATACTATTCTACTCCTGGAATAATTGTCTACTAAAGAACATTGAGCTGAAAGATCACTCATGTTTATAAACCCTGTCTTGGAGAAAATGGTTACTCAATAAGATGGTTATGACATTGGTTTGAGGCAGATGTGGTGTGTACACTGCATACCTGTCATCTCAGCACTCTTGTGAGGCAGGAAGAAAGGCTGCTTGCTACAAACTTAAAGCCAACCTGAGCTGCACAGGAGTGCACCAGTCGAGGCTACATAGCAAGACCCTACCTCAAACAGACAGGCAAAAGAAACACACACAAAACAAACAACCCAAGGTCAAGGACTGTGGGTTTCAAATGTGAACTCCCAGGATTACCCAGAGGCTTTAGCTCTTTATATTTGTAAGAGAATTTCTATGATGTTCACAGAGACACTGTGATTATCTCAACTCTCTGGAATTTTTTTAATTTTCCATTTGCAACTAATGTATGTAGCTATTTTCAACAATTCCACTCTCAAGTATGTACCCCAGAGAATGTAGCCAGTTCTGCCCACGCAAAAATTTGCTCACAGATGTTCTCAGAATCCTTATTTATATAAGCCACTGACTAGATACAACCCAAATGCCTAAAACACCAACGAGGAGGTAAACAGAAGGGTATTCCACCCAAGTATACGATCAGCCACAAAAGGAAGGGAGTTACTGATTCTGAGCCAGAGTGGACCTTGAAAACAGCGCTACACCAAGTGAGTGCAGTTACTTAAAAGAGCCGATGTTAACTGACTCTGTTTGTATGACATACTTAGGACAGAAACATCCATCACCAAGAGCAGATTAGTGCTGCAGGGTCTGAGAGGGAAGAATGGGGAGTGCTGGGGCTTTCCATGGAAATTAGATAGTGATGACTGCAGAGTTGCGTGAACACACTAAATCCACTAGCTGTACACGAGGAAAGGGAAACGGAGAGGTCAGAGGCACTTGGTGTGCAGGAGGCTCTGAAATCAGTCACCAGCACCAAAAAAAGAGGGAGGGAAGTTAGCATGAATTTTATCTTATGAGAGTTCCATTTCAATAAAGCCACAAGGTATCAAGGTATATGCTTATTATAACATATCAAATTTCTAAGTCACTTTACATTCTACTAAAAAGGTTATAGGGCCCAATATACTATATATATTTATGTATGTGTATGTATCATTCTGAAAGTTTTATAAAAAATCTATCTCATAACATCACTTTTGATAGACATAAAACAGAAGACAGAATAATTTTAAATGCAAATATATTTAAAAAATTAAAACACCTAAGAAACACAATCTATATACATGAAAAAGTAAAATATCTATATGCATTACAATTAGTAGCAACATGACCCATGAGCAGCAGTAGTCTATTCTGTCCATATTTGGTTTAACATCATAGTGGTAGCTCAGTGTTCTTATGGAAATTATGTAAGGTACATACAGCATATTGTGAGGACTGTAAATGGGAAATGAATGCCAAGTAACAGCATTTTCTCTAAAAACAAATTATCTTAAAATAATGAACAAGATGAGCTTATTGTATTCAGTTCAAGTTATATAGTCAAACTTGCATAAAGTACAGGTGGCCATTTAAAATGGCCTGTTGCTAAAATGTTAGTAACTTGGGCTATTGGGATTTTCACAGGAGATAAGCTGTCACTCATCATCTTTTTACGAAGAAGGTTGCTTTAAGAGTATCACAACCATGCTTTTGAGAAACGTGACAGCGTATTTAAGTCACAATGGCGAAGCATTTCATCAGTGTGGTACCAGCCCCAAAGAGCATTTCTGAAGGTGCCCTAGATCACATTTCCATGCGATTCTGACTTTTATTCTCCTCCGTGTATTACATGTACAGGTAAGAATTTTAATTTCTACTGAGAGAGTCTATCACATTGATCAGTTATAGACACACACAATAAAGTACTTGGATAACCTAGCACTTCACTAGAAGTACATCTACTGACCACAAAACCAACTGTCACTAAGAAATGAAATACTAAAAGTTTCTGATTTGGGAGAAATAAAATACAATAGAGCGTGTGGTTTTTCTTTCTTCATCTCTACTGTAAAAATCCACTTTTCCTATTTGACCCATCTCTACCCATGCAATTTAATGAACCCTCAGAAGCGTTTACACATCTTTATACAGGATTCACATCTGTCCACTGCCGTCCCTCTTATATTTTCAGGGTCTTATCAAAATATGGGCAGCAAGGTTCTTGTCATTCTATGAGGCAGGGAGATGCTTCCTAAGGATCTCTTTGGACGATAACGATATGGAATCAGGGAAGGACACGTCAAACTCTATAAGCAGGTCACCGCGTTGCTCAGGGTTCTTTGGAAACGGCAGCCCATATCCAATAATTCTCCTCCTCATCCCAGGTTTCACAATGTCACTGATTGACATAGGTATGTTTCTCCCATCCATCGTTGGCACATTAACTGAGCAGCCACACAATGCCTACAGTGGAATAAATAAAATGCAGTTAAAAAAAAAAACCCAAACTGGACACCATAAGATCCTACTGGGTGGTGAAGGATAACACTCTGCAGGTTGACATTTTAACTTCCAAAAGGGTTACAATAGTTATAAAATCTTTTCCTGTTCTAGAAAATCCATTCAAGAGAAGCATTATCAGGTGTTGCCAGAGACAGAGAGAGGAAGGAGAAGAGAGAAAAGAGAAGCCAAGGGTGTCTTTCACAGTGCCTCGGGAAGTGAGCTGTTTGAAGCTGTCAATATTCAAGGGGCAGGGATGGGAACGAGAGCAAAGGAAGAACTTAGAACTGAACAACGCAGGAGCAGCACCTACTGCTCTAGAAGCAGCTGTCTTGCAGTGTCTACTAAAGCCGTTTAGTCCCTGTTGAATTACTGCGGGGCACTGAGATACACAAGGGACTCACAAGCATGCCCATGAGTCAGTGACAGAGTAGAGCAGGGGCAGAAAGGTAAAGGCCTCTCATGACCCAAAGGCACACAGATCGCCCCTTATTGACTGGGACTACCGAGCGCCTAAACCAAACGCGGTCTGCTCATGGCAGGCACTAGGACAAAATGAAGGCTGAGTGACCAGAGTACAGCTCTGACACACAGAGAAACTGTACAAAGTAACGACATCAAATTCAGGGAAAGGAAAATATGTTTGGGGGTGGAAGCCAGATTTCTACCTTTTAAGCTAGTTTGAAATATATGATAGGAACAGATTGAGCTATTTAAGATTTAAACAGGGACATGACCCTATGTCATGGGACACAACTGAATTTGAGAAGTACTGCAAATCTCAAGGGCTGTAATAAGGTGGTATACACTTGTTATATTTTAATACTTGTTAGATAAATCTTCTCCAAACTAATCATTCAGAACTGGATAAACAAGTGGTTCTCAACCTGTGGGTCGTGACCTCTTATTTGGGGGGGTCAGAAGGCCTTTCCACTGATATTTACATTATGACTCATAACAGTATCAAATTACAGTTATAAAGTAGCAACAAAATTAATTTTATGGTTGGGAGTCACCACAACATGAGGAGCTGTATGAAAGGGCTGCAGCAGCCTATTTGGATTAAAGAGGTGGATTTCTAATGCAGATCTCACAGACCACAACTAAAGCCAGAGGAGAGCTAGCCCAACACTGGGTCATGAAGTAGCTATCAAGTTTGCACTTAAAACTGATGTTTAAATTACTAACATGGGTGACTAAATTTAGCAGCTATGATGTCATCCATAAGATGCAACAGTAGCTTCTAGAGAATTGTTACAAGGAATCAAACAGACAGGGTGCTGGGAAGGAGCCTGTTCCTGCTCAGAGAGCTCCCCACCAGAAGTCAGCAGGGTACCATGGTCTCTTTGGTCTTAGAGCGGTAGTCTTAGTAACTTACCTCCCGCAAACTGATCCTAGCGGTATACACTATATTTGATCCGTCTCTTTTAAATTTGGGATGCTCTTTGTCTTTAATAATGAAAACAATGTCTGCTGGGATACTGTTTGGCGTTTCGTCGCCTTCCCTTGGGAAAGTGATTTTGGTGCCTTCTTTCCAGCCTTTTTTAATCTCGATGGTGAGAATTTTGTCCTCAGATCTATAACTCCTTCCATCAGGGTTTAATCTTTTTCGAGAAATCTTCATCCGTTTGGTGCAGCCACTAAATATTTCTTCAAGTGACACCCTAAGTTCATGAATAACGGGAGGGTCTTGCTTGAGACGGGAGGGTCCCACAGAATTCCTGTCCCTTGGATATCCGTTCATGCTGAATCCAAAGGCACTAAAGGGATCACCATCTACTTCCATTTCTTCAGAATCTCGACCTCCACCCATCCGTCTTCCAAAGAAAATTTCAAAGGGGTTGGAACCTCCAAAAAAGGCTGCAAACGTGGCATGAGGATCTCCGTGAAAGGTGTACCTGAAGGTACCTCCTTGTCCATCAGTCCCTCCTGCTCCTCCTTTCAACCCTGGGGAGAGATAAGCATGATTGGGAAAAGGGTTGTAACTCCAGACAGGTGACCATTTGCTAGTTGTATTGCTAATCACCTTTGGCATATCACCCTATGGTCGGAAACAGTGTTATAATTAAGCAGAACAGTCACACAGCTTCTGGAGCCACCCTAAGTAGAGGGCTAGCTTTCAAATCGGCCCTCCAAATTTTTAGCTTTAATAATTTCTGTGAATCTTTGTTTCATAATAAACATGAAAAAATAAAAGGAAACTGAGGATCCCTTACATCAGAAGTTACTGTCCCAGAATGCTGAAATATTATAGTTTTAAAGATGAATAAATTTAATAATCAACAAAGAATCTAAACCCTTAAGTGCCATTATAACTAATTAATGTAATCAATAAGTAAAAGTGTATTCATACTAAGTAACTTTATTCCATTTCTTTTGCTGTTTTTTAAAGATTTTTATTATTTTAATTGTGTGTAGACATGTGCGTGCGTGTGTAGGTGTGTGCACATGAGTGTAGGTGCCCATGAAGGCCACAGGCATCAAATCCCCTGCAACTAGAGTTACAGACAAAGGTTGTGAGCCTCCTGCCACGGGTGCTGGGAAATGAGCTCAGCCATCACTCCAGCCCCCAGCCAGGCCCTTTTATTACTTTTAGTAAATAGAGCTATTTCTTAGCAGCAAGGGGACATTTTCTCATAAAGAGAACAGCATGGGAAACGTCTGTGTGGACACTACGTTATTATCATCTTAGATAGCAAAACTTCCAGGTCTACCTACTGCATCCTGATTTAAAGCATATAAAACCAGGACTGAAATCAAGAGCCTTGAGTCTTTTTAGCATGTAACCTGGGCTTGTTATTTCTGACAGCAGTAACATGTGGCTGACAAACAGTATATATATATATATATATATATATATATATATATATATATATTTGGCATAGCATTTCCTATCATATCCCAAAGGAAGATTCAACTAAGGCCCACAAAACAATATAGTGATGCTTCAGGAGGTCAATCTTGGCAAAGATTTCTGGAGGGGCCTTAGAGGAATTCCTGACCAAAAAGGAAGGAGGGAAATGAAGATTACAGAACTATAAAGAACTAGTTTAAACTGGGAGATTCTTACACCCAAACTGAGTAATTTGAAGGCAGGGAAAATACGTCACTAAGTTTTGCATTGCTCATGAATATGGGGTTGAAAATTAATGAAAATCAACTAGTCCTTAAAGTCCTAAGTGGAAACTAAAGAAGGTGTTCTGAGGATCAGTCTAAAGAAGACAAAACAAAAGCAAAAGAGCACATGCAGGAGGAAGTTTAATCACGGCAAACTCCAAAGAGACTTAATTTTCGTATCTTATGGTATAGTCTGCTTCCATTATTAAAGGACACACACTCGTGCGCATGTGTGTTGAGGGTAGAGAGGGAATATGAATGGTGAATCCACACAGTAATTGGAGTTTTGCTTGTAGAAGTGGAGTGACAAGTCTGGAGAGGGTTAGCATGGTTAACATACGGCTCATTCAGTCTTCCTTTTATAAATTTTGTTAGTACAATTATAATGCTAAATGTGAAAAAGTGAATGACAGACTTTAACATATGATAGAATAAGTATAGAGCTCAAAGTCACAACAAGATAACTAAATGAGGACTTAGGTTACTTCAATAACTATCCCTTTTCCTGCAGATTTCATAAAGTATCATAATTCACCAGTTGGGTAAATGAGCCTACCCTTAGCTTTCTAAAGGGCACATAACAGAAAAGAAAGAATAACATTTTCAGTATTACGTCATAGGTTTGGCTTTTCCCTAAAACCTCTTTCTTCCCTTGCTCCCAAAAATGGTAATTCAGTCAGTACTATAGTCTGTGAGAAAATTTATACACAGCCTGAAATGACTTACTCATCAGAGCCGACAAAAATTCAGCCTTGAGATTTTCCTAGACATAGAAGGGTCAACTATGTAGGTCAGATAAAGAATGAAGCTACTTTAATAATGAGGAAACCTTACCAAAGCGCCACTGGGCTGACATGAACTTCTTGCTGTCCTCTGCACTGCTGACCACTTGACTGACTGTAGCGAGCACATCACTGACCAGATATCTACCCTTAACTGTGCACACCACAACTCCCAATAAAACAGTCCACATCCACTCGAGTCTCTCCACTCTGAGGTGTTTCCTAGACACAGTCTGCTCAGGGAATGGACTCTAATCCCACTTCAGCCTGGGCGTTAAATCCACTAGCCAACTTAATATGCAAAACAAGTACATTTTGGGGACACTCCTCACAGCAACGGCTTCTATTAGTTATCTGACAAACAATTATGAGAGGAAGAAACACTAAGAAGACCTGGATCTGCAAAGGAAAAATGATGGGGTTTACTAAATCTTACTTTAAGGAGACGGAATGTGTGAAATGCTTTGATTTGTAGCAAGACTTCTGAGTTACACAACAAGAGCCTCTCAACAGTTCAACCCACAAGAACCGAGAAAACTATGTATCTCCAGAATATAGAAAACAAAGAGGTGCTGCCAGTAACTGCGTTAAAGAACAGTAAACTAGACAAAGGTTGGTATACAAAATACTTAAGTTTAAAGACAAAACTACTTCCAGCATCTGAAGAAAATTAGTAAGCAGTAATCAACAGGCCAAGTAAAGAAGGAAGAAGAAATGTGAGGAAACACAGAACCCTCTAAGGTGTGTTTTGTTTCCTTTACATTTTTATACTGCATGTACACATGTTCAGCCGGTCTGTGTGTGGGCGCCTGCATGCCATGGTGTGTGTGTAGAGGTCAGAGGACAACCTTCAGGAGTCTGTTCCCTCTTTCCACCACGTGGGTCCCAGGGAATGGGCTCAGCTCAACCTTTACCCACACAGCCATCTCTCTCACTCAGAGAAAGAGAGCTTCACGGCTTAATACAAACTTGTGTTCACCTCCACTTAGCCAAGCCCAAAACCTCAGGGCGGGAATATGTCAGAATCCAATCTTAAATTTCTGTAGTTCCATGGTTATTTTCAAATGCTTTGGTTGTGGAGAGAACTGATCTGCTGTTATTTAATATGTAGATTACACTACACAACTAACCTGTATGCAGTTCAACTGTAAGGAACTTACAAAGTTTAATAAGTGTCACCACAATCCATTTGTGGGACAGGCCACGATTCTCAAGGGTTTTCTGCTTCTTACAGCTTCTGCCTATCTCTCCTTCCAGCCCCAGGCAAGCCAGCTTGGCTATCTATAAAGCTGTCTTTTCCAGACATCTCACATTAACTGAATTATATAATACGTGTAGTCTCACATCAGGGTTCTTCCACCCAGGGTAGTTTTCAAGGTTCATCCAGCTGTGACATTTCATTAATGGGTACTTTCACCTGCCAAAATGTAGCCCACTGCGATATATACTTTTGTTTATCCACTTGCTGAACTATGTGACTTCTGGACTGTTTTGATACAGGGCCCTTGCTGGGGCTGCCATGAACAATCAGGCACATGTCTTGGTATGAGAAAATGTTTTGTTTTGTTTTGATAGATCCCCAGGAATAGAACTACTAGGTAACACAGTAACTTTAAGACATAGTTATTTTATTCCCTTTTTAAAAAAGCATTCTAAATTTTAAATGTTAAAAGAATTTCACAGCATGAACAAACAAGATTAATGGTCTGTAAATTCCTAAATACAGACATTTAGCATTATCTCATACACTTCTCAGTGCACAGTTTCTTACTTCTAATCTCCTAGCTCCAAGAGTAGTAACAGTTTTAGAATTCAGTATGTTCTTACTACTGGAGAGGCCTATAGACCCAGGACTATAAAGCAGAGATGATGAGAAAAAGAGAAGGAGAAAAGAGCCTTCCCCACACTCTCACACAGTGTACCGACAGGAGATTTTTGTAGGGAAGGTGCTAAAGATTGAGAGCCGGGGCTCCCACACACTTCTCAAGTGCTATGACACTGAGCTACACTCCCGCCCCATAGGCTTTAGAACAACTGTGTGCTATTCTACCAAAGGTAAACAAATGAACCACTCTTCTGTGAAGGAAGAATTCCAGAGGCTCAGTTTTCCTTCTCCTGTATTTTCAAATAGCTTATAACTGCGTAGTACCTTGAATAATGTACTGCGATGCGGTAAGAAACAACCCTGCCCCGTGCTCCTTTTAGTGCATACAACACTTATGTGGGCTAAGAACAACAAAAGACTCGGGGCATACAGACAGTCATGACTTAGTTTTTGAACATTTTAAGTCTCTGGTAAAGTAATGTGGGGAGGGGATTACTCCAGAAAAGCGCTGCCGAAAGGAGACCTAAAGAGTCATCTGGTGACTTGACAAGCTAATGTCAGGCTGTTTAACAAGCCTGAGTCCTGTGGCTCAGTCAGACAGAGGTGCACTTGGGCAGTCCAGAAGACGTAAGCAACAGAAGCGGCTTCGTGGGAATCACAGAGCCTCTTCTCCAGGTTCTCTTGGGAGTGCTGGTGATGTCTGATGACCCTGCTAGCTCCTGTGACAGTCCTATCATGGCATGGGGTGACCATGGGGAACAGAGAGGCTCCACTGCCCACCACTTGTGTTTTTTTTTTCAATTAATCACTTTGTAAGAACCTAGCACTAACTATATCTGCACTGCTACCAAAGGTAGCAGCATAAACCTTAACTCTTGGTTCTCTGACCAAAAAAAGCAAGAAGAGAAAACCTCCACACAACTGCACCGAACTGCCAATTTAGTTTGCTTAACGTGGTCACTCTGTGGCTCTGTGTGAAGGATTTATTTCTAATTAGGGAAATATGATGTTAAATGCTATAAACAGAGGGAAAACAAAACTGTTTCCATAGCCACAGTGACTTGGAAGGCATCTGAGGAAAAGTAATGAGTGTGTTAGTCCCAATTTTAAATTTAAAACCCCAAACTCACACGAGTTAGAGCAGCTGTTGCTGCTGACTAACAATGTAAGGTCCTACTTTATGGAGATGTTAGGCAAACCTGCTTTAGGTCCACGGTGAGGAGAGGAGACTCTCAGCGGAGCAGTCTCCCATTTCCTGTGCTCACTAAGTTCTAGTCTCGGAAGGAAGGGGTAAAGTATGACAGAGGGGAAAGGGAGGCTGCCACACGCTTCTCTTCTCATAGATAGCAAAATTTCTGAAAGGACAGTTTACTAAAGGAAAATCAGTCATTGTTCTAACTAGGTGGCCATTTTAGGTCAAAAAAACAAAAAACAAAAACTCTGAGACCTTGTTGCCTGGCACTCAATTACTGTTTACAATTAAGCTAAAAAAACTTGTTCTGGTATTTTATGACATCAGGAAAATTCTTTCTTCTCTAGGCAGATTGCCAAAAACAACTAGACGCTAAACGCCTGTGCCTTCTGTGTCTAAGACACACGACTCCGTCTTGTTCAGTCTCAACTAGCACTGCTCTAAAAAGGCCAAAAAAAACTTCTTGTTTTTCTGAATAAAATATAAATGACCCAGAATTTGAACTGCCAATCTTAAGATTTTAAATGACTGAAGACTCTATTAATTTTGGGAGAAAAATAATCCATTAAAAAAAACACAGATTGCATAAGACTTTTAAACAATTCATTCATCAGCACATGAATTTAATTAAGATTTCTTTCAAAATATAAGATGCTAAAACTGTAAGTCTAACAGTAGAATATGTATAGTACAATATTATTTAAAACGAAAAAACAAAAGAAAAACATGAACACTTCATTCATAGCTCACTCAAATAATCAGGAATTAACCCTTGTTTTCAATTGCTTATTTCCCTTTTTATTTCAGGTATGCCTGACGACCAATTTAATGATAACCAGGCTGCTGAGAGAGAAAAAGGTAAGATTCAGGGCCAAAGGAACGGAAATGGGCAACTTACCTTCTTCCCCAAACTGATCATATATCTCTCTCTTTTTAGGGTCACTCAATACTTCATAGGCTTCCGCGACCTCTTTAAACTTCTCCTCTGCTTGCGGGGATTTGTTCTTGTCCGGATGGAACCTGAGGGCTTGTTTTCGGTAAGCCTTTTTAATATCTTCATCGGTAGCTCCTTTCTCAATTCCCAAAATGCAGTAATAGTCTTTCCCCATTTCGAATGCCTTGCAATGAACTTAGCTTTCCCTTTGTAAAAGAAAACAGCGTCTCCAGTCTTAGCAATACAACGATTCTGAGAAAACAAGGCAAGCTGGGTATCTTAAAAGTTAAAGCAATCAGCGATTCGGCTCAGCTGTCTGGAGGCAGCAGGCAGCGTCTCTATTGAATCCGGTCCCCAGCAGCTCGCTTACAGATAAATATACCCCACACGAGAGACCGCCTCCTTCTAGACCCTCCCGTTCTCACTACGTGTCTCTGCACTTTCTAGAACAGCAAATGCTACAGGACGTCACTTTCCCAGCGGCCTCTAGGCAAAGTGCGGGGCTGTGTCCCTCCTCCTCCACGATTAACTATTCCCTTTCCTCTGGCTCTACCGTTTTATTTCCTGTGGATTTAGCAAACCAGTATTTCGGCACGGAATGCCTTAACTACAGATGTATTTACTCCATTAGAGGTAAAAGGGCAGCAGAAATAATTATAGCCCCTAGGTATCCCATCTTAAAGTAATTATACAGATGGAAAAGCCCTGCACTTACTGTAGGTATTCCAATTCCAGTTTCAAGTTACCTAGCTGTACAACAGCACAACTAAACACGAGGTGTTTACATTTAAAGTCTTCAAATAGTTTGGGTCATTTTCCAAATTCCAGGGGTCTAGCAGTCTGAAAGGTGAAGGAGTCCCTACATGAAATTTCACATGGTAAAAAGGCTATCATAAAATTGAAAAGCAGCATTTTAACATAAACGACTGGAGAGTGATTTTAACTAGTTTTTGGTCGCATTTACTAATCATTATTTGTAAAAGCTCACTGTCTGTGTTCTTTACCACCAGTGAAACAGATGGCATTCCAAGGGTCACTGTTTTCCTAAAGCAGGAGGGTTAGGGGAGGCAACCATTTCAACATGCTCAGGTTCACAGTAATCCCACCCTGGATCAACGTAAAACCTGGGTATGCTACTTACTTACAAGAGGCAGCAAGGTGACAACTACTTTAAAAACACATTTCCCCTCCCTTTAACTATGTACTTAGGGACAAAGATTTTTGAAAACAAGGGGGGAAATCCCACCTTTTTTTAGTATTCTCTGTTACTATCAGTGTATTTTTAAAAATTCTTTCAAAAAACATTTGTTGCTATTTTCTGTAATTTTTTAAAATTTTATTTATTTTCCCATTCATTCATTCATTTATTATGCATACAGTGTTCTGGCATGCATGCCGGAAGAGGATATGAGGTCTCATCATAGATGTCTGTGAGCCACCGTGTGGGTACTGGAAATTGAACTCAGGACCTCTGGAAGAGCAGCCAGTGCTCTTCACCTCTGAGCCATCTCTCCAGCCCCTATTTGCTGTAATTTTTTAATCAACACAGTTTAAATCACATTTACATTTATATGTCATATGGTGCTGCCTCCTACAACGTATTTTGAATATGAGAATACTTTGTATGCATGTAACTCATCATTTATCTCTTAAATGGGTTTTCAATCCTTTCCCAAAATGTGCCATTCCTAGGCGAGTGCTGAAACTCAAGGTCCTGCATCTAGTTACTCGGCAGGCTGAGCTATACTGCAGCCACACCACTTATCATTTATGGACTACTAGTGTCCAAAGAACTGCACTCAGTTCACACTGCATTTAGAACCCCTCAGTGTCTGGAAATTTAGGGGAAAACACTGAAAACCTGAAGGAATGGAACCGCCCTTCTGCTTGCCAACACTGATGACTCCGCACTTCTGGAGGCTTCCCTCTGCTGCAGCCACAGAAACTTCCTAGGTCTCCAAGTCCCTCCCACAGCACCTTGCTGCTGGGAACCTCTCACACCTGGCAGCCTACACCCAGTTTAGTGAAAACATCACTTTTCAAATCCAGAGCATATGGAAGAAGTTAATATTAAAAGTCCCACGAGACTGCTGTTTTGAAAATGTGTATCTGCCTGCTGATTCGGGTGTGTGAGTGGAGCTGTGGAGAGAATGTCAAAAGAAGAGGAACTACAACTGATAACTGGCATTAGCCAGGCTATATTAAAGGCTAGCACATTTCCATCCAAGTGGTAAAGTCGGCTTGCATTTAAGATCCTTATTTTGCTATTAACTGGTAAAACGACATGAAGCTTCACTGCTCTCCGTTTTATTAAAAGCAGCGAGGTTGGCTGTCTCACAACAGGAATTTCAGTACTCAGAATAGCATGGATTTATTTTTCAAGTCTATCAAAAAGCTTAGATGTGATTATTTTGTCAAAGTTAACAGCAACCAAGTTTGGTGCACAACAAACAGTGTGTGGAAGGGAGGCCACTCCACTGTCTTTTACTTGGGCTCCCTTGCTTGGGATAGTATGCTTTCATAGTACAGATAAAGTCTTTGCACACAGAAGGTAGCATTAAACCCCCAAACCTACAAGTATAAGGCATCATTCCACTGACTCTACCTGCTTCTAATTGAGTACTCCTGTAAAACAAAAGCAAATCTCAGCTGTGGTGATGGTTCATGCCAAAATCCCAGCACTCAAGAGACTGAGGTAGCTGAAGGCCAGCCAAAGGTACACAAAGGTAGCTTTAAAGAACACCAACAAAAAAGAATGGGGTAGGTCTCCATGAGTGGTAAAAGGTGAAGGGAGGGAGGGGGGAGGGAGGGGGGAGGGAGGACAAGGTGGCACTAAGGACTATCCACAGTAGTTTAAAGTTGTCTGAAGCCGGGTGGTGGTGGCGCAAGCCTTTAATCCCAGCACTCGGGAGGCAGAGGCAGGCGGATCTCTGTGAGTTTGAGGCCAGGCTGGACCAACAGCCTCCAAAACAATACAGAGAAACCCTGTCTCGAAAAACCAAAAATAAATAAATAAATAAATAAATAAATAAATAAATAATAATAATAAAGTTGTCTGAAGCACAGATTCTGGGGTCAGGATGGCCTGAATTTGAATTCTGGTAACTCCACATACCAGCTGTGTAGCCTGGGATCTAAACTCTGTGTCTCAGTTTCCTTATCTGTCATATCAACTTTGTAGAGCTACCATGCAAATTAAATACGATGTGCAGTGTATTTAAATACCTTTGACACTGTGAAGATTAAAGGTGTTAGCTACTTTAATGATTTCATTACATGAAACACAACAACTTTCTTTCAGTAAAAGCCACACCATGTGTAACACTCTTAGAAAATTACATGCACATAAATGCAAACATGGTTATGTTTGGCTCTTTCCAAATATTCCTGTAAGTATGTGCTACTTTCACACCTTGAATCTGTTAAAAGTAAAAACCATACTGGTGGTGGCACGTGCCATTGACCCTAACACTCCAGGGAATGTGGCAGGCAGATTTTAAAGTTTAAGGCCAGCTTGATCTACACAGCCAATTTCTAAGTTAGCCAAGGCTACAATAGTGGGACCCTGCCTAAAAAGTCAAAATCACTAAACACTTCACACAGCTAATATTGGTCATACTCTTAGATTATTTATTGGTTATAAGATGGGGTCTCATTGTGTCACCAGTCTGGTCTCATGGTCCTGGAGTCATGATGTGACACACACCTGTAATCCCAGCACTGGGAGGGGAAGGCAGGACAATCAGGACTTCAAGATCAGTCTTGGTCACATAACAAGTTTGAAACCAGCTTAGGCTACATGAAACCCTGCCTCAAAATAAAAACAAAAGCCCCCAAATCAAATTCCTTTCTTCTCAACCTCCTGAGTAGCTGGGGTCATGGACAAAAACAAGCCTGTCCTCTGCAAATATTCTTACACTGCGTGTGACTGATTTCAGAGCCAGAGCCTCAATGTCTGTCTGTACTCCACACAGCTCAGTCATGCTGGATCCCTTCAAAGTTGTCCATTCTGCTTAGAAGACAAGCATACAGACGATACAAATAAATAAAAGCCGGGCGTGGTGGCACATACCTTTAATTCCAGCCCTCGAGAGGCAGAGGCAGGCAGATCTATAGAGTGAGTTCCAGGACATCCAAGATTACACAGAGCCGGGCAGTGGTGGTGCATGCCTTTAATCCCAGCACTCGGGAGGCAGAGGCAGGCGGATCTCTGTGAGTTCGAGGCCGGGCTGGACCGATAGCCTCCAAAACAATACAGAGAAACCCTGTCTCGTAAAAACCAAAAAAAAAAAAAAAAAAAAAAAAAAAAGATTACACGGAGAAACCCTGTCTCAGAACAGAAAAAAGAAAAATACAAATGTCCAAGAGCAAATATTTGTATTCTTGGTTTCTTTCTTTCCTTCTTTCTTTAATGTGGGGCATCAGCATCATTTTTTTAAAGATTTTATTTATTTATTATACAACACCCTGCCTCCATGTATGCCTGTAGCCCAGAAGAGGGCACCAGATCTCATTACAGATAGTTGTGAGCCACCATGGGAATTGAACTCAGGACCTCCAGAAGAGCAGTGTTGTTAACCACTGAGCCATCTCTCCAGCCCTGTATTCTTGGTTTTCTAATGTCAGCTCTGCCACTTAAACAGGTGAAATTGGGGACTGGAGAGATGGCTCAGAGGTTAAGAGCACTGGCTGTTCTTCCAGAGGACCCAGGTTCAATCCCTAGCACCCACATGGCATCTCACAACTGTCTGTAACTCCCAGATCCAGGGCTTCTGAAACCCCTACAAAGACAGATATGCAGGCAAAACACCAATGATCATAACACAATTAAATAACTAATACATTAAAAACAACAGGTAAAATGGCTCTGTGGTCTAACTTAAAAGAGTAACATTTTAAGCTGGGTGTGGAGATGCACACGTTTAATCCCAAGAGAATCTCGGAGTTGGAGGCCAGCCTGGTGAAGTTCCAGGATATCCAAAGAAAACCCCAAAAATGAAAATAATGAAATTTATGACATGTACATAAAAACTTATCACTATTTTAAGCTGTACAGACTACTTTGCGACAGTGGAGGTCTGCTGATAAAGGCTGCCTTTACTCTAGATTGTAGTTTGCAGAAACAATCTACCTGAACCAGTAACTGACAGACCCTCAAAGGAGTCGGGACACCACATGATGCAAGCCAAGGTTCCTTTTCAGACTTTTATATCTGAATTCCATTCTTTTCTTACACAGAGGAACTCTTCCAAGCCTTTCTGATAACAGCAATTACATAACGGCAGTTTAGAAAATACTGGCGTATGCTCTCTGGTATCTTTGTTATTTGTGTGCCCATGTCTGGTATTTAAGCGAGAGAAGTTTTCATAAAGCCTTTTGATAACTGTGGTGTAATGAGTGATGATATTCTATAGAGAGTTTTTGTTTGGTTTTTGGACAGTTTCCCTCTGTAGTGCAACTGGGCTCTGAACTCATGATCTGGCTGCCTTTGCCTGCTGAAGGCTGGAATTGCAGACAGGAGCCATGGCGCCCAGCAGCTATGACAGCAACACTCAAATAGACATTGTTCCCATGTCAGCATAAAAAACAACACTGGGCTGTGTCCTCTGCTGTCTCACCTATTTTGGGGAGTATCTAAATTCTTCTATAAAATCAAACTACTAGCCATCTAATAATGACTACCTTACTTACACGTTTTATACTTTCCTTAAAAGCCTGTAAGCCCTAAGAGAACTGTCAAGTTTGGAACTCAGACTCCAAATTTTCAGTCTTATGGAAAGACTTCAGACTTTCATAACAGCTAAAATACCAATAACTTCAGCTCTGGCTGTCCTAGAACTCGCTCCGTAGACCAGGCTGGCCCTAAACTCACAGAGATCCATCTGCCTCTGCCTCTGCCTCCCGAGTGCTGGGATTTAAGGCAAGCACCACCACACTTGGCTAGAAAACAATTTAAAGAGATTCAGTGTGTCAGTGTGTGTGTGTGTGTCTGTGCGTGTGTGAGTGGTGTGTGAGTGTCTGTGTGTGTGTGAGTGTGTGTGTGTATTTTGCAGGGGATGAACCCAGGACCCTGTGCAGGTTAGGCAAGTGCTCTACTATTAAGGGTCCGTCTCCAGACCTACCTCATTTAGGTTCTAAGGTAGAAGACAGAAACTTAAAGCAAGTAACATTAAGACATTACCCTATTTACTTAAGATTAAACTATTTCTCAGAGCCGGACGGTGGTGGTGGCACACGCCTTTAATCCTAGCACTCTGGAGGCAGAGGCAGTCGGATCTCTGTGAGCTGAGGACCAGCCTGGTCTACAAGAGCTAATTCCAGCACAGCCTCCAAGCTACGGAGAAACCCTGCCTTGAAAAACAAAAACAAAACAAAAAACTCTTTCTGGGTAGAGGGTAGAGGCCAACTTTGGCTACATAGTAAAACCACCCATCTAGAACAAAGTAATTAAGCTACTCTAGAAATCTCACCTTCTCCCTATCTGCAAATGCCCTTCTGGAATTTACTGAAGTAGTATGGACTCATTGTTAGCATCATCTAAATGAATATTTGTTTATAGAATTTAGAAGGTATCCCATGATTTTTTTAAAAAGGTGGTGGCTCTTAAGTTCAATTCCCAGCACTTAGAGGAAGTGGGGGAGGATAATTGGCCCAGACATGGTGGAGCACACCTTTAATCCCAGCACTAGGAAGGCAGAGGAAGATCTCTGTGAGTTTGATGCAGCCTGGTCTACAAAGCGAGTTCCAGGACAGCCAGAGCTATTAGAAAAGAAAAACCTTGTCTTGAAAAACAACAACAACAAAAAGAACAATTGTCACCAAAGTCTATAATTCCCATAAGGTAGGAGCTGCTTAGCAAACACTTCGAACGCTCATATGAGGTTCACACTGTTCCAGAGTCACAGAGCATACACCACCATCGCTGTCATTCAGGGCGTATCCCCTGGGGAAGACAGACAGTGCAGAATAAAGAAACAGACCAGTGTCGGAGGAAACTGCCACTAAGATGCGATGGAGAGGGTCATACTCCGTCCAATAAAGGCTCTCCTGTTAGTTCCCAGCTAGCACAGACGGTACTACGACAGCTGGTATTTTTAACTAACGGAGTAAGCCTGGGTATGACACTTTTTTAGGGTCCAGGCTAATTATGACACTTTCAGGGAGACACACATCGTGATGAGCAGTGCTTACAGACCTCTTTCATTCTTCTGTTCATGTGTCATGCTGCAGGGATGCTTCAGGCAACAGACTGAATCACACAGGTGACAGCTATTACATAAGGTTCTATTGCTAGTAATAGGACAGCCATCTTAATTTGTGTTAACATACTGACATTCGCATTGACAAAATCACCCATGTCAAGAAGATATGTGTAATTCTGCTAAGAGGAACATTTGGTTCTCACTGTTTTCCATCCTTTATTCCCTGCACAGATATAAACATACTTTCAAGTCTATAGCTGACAACTAAGTTCAGTAAAGTGCAGTACAAAACAATTAAACGACCCAATCATTCACCAAATAAGCACTGCTCAGTTGGGGCTGGAGAGCCAGCTCAGTGGTTAAGAGCATTTGTCCTTCAGAGGACACGAGTTCCGTTTCCAGAACCACGCAGTGGCTCACAATCACCCACATCTCCAGTCCCACGGGGTCCCATGCCTTCCTCTGACTTGAATGGCACCAGACACGCATGTGGTGCCTATACATACATGCAAGCAAATTACTCACGCACATACATTTTAAAAAAACTACTAACTTATTATATGGGCTATGAGACAGCTGC